AACACAAGAGCATAAGACATATTATTCGAAGGTTGCAGGTTCAGTCCCCGCCGGTGGCAAGTTGTCTTTTCGACCACTTTTCTTCACATATACAATTACTTCTATTAACATCACCTATACTTTTTTTGGTATCACTAGCTGTCTGTTACATCTCATTAATTTTATGTCTAGCAAAGAAAGGAGCTCCTAAATTTGCGATTCTTTTTCTTTAAAGAAAGTAGGCAGTTACATGTACTGGTTACATGAAATGTCTCGACAAATGCAACTATTGTCTCATGTCGGTCTATGTCAGTGTTGTGAGAGCCTGTTCACATACCAAATCTTTTGTGTCAAAGCATTGCCTGGCTCACGGACAATGTCACAATGAATCCAGCAATGGCATAGTATGGCTTCGAGTCAAAGCAGTGGCAGTAAGCGCCTCTGTAGCTGCAGAAGTCACAGAGTAGCTTGATCAACAATGCTGATCGCTGACAGAAAGCCCGATACAGCAGCAGCCACTCAGAAATGGCAGATTACGCAGGAACTTCACCCAATGCCTGGTCCCTTGGTATGGTGGACCACTTTGCCTGTTTCCTGAACCCTCTACACAGCAAGAGTACATGCCCTCAATGCTAAACTATTGTGTCCATGTTGCTTGGCTCGGTGGATTGAATATTTAACAACTGACTAGCCTCGCACACCGAGCAGCACCTAATACTTGCACATGCTTTGCACCACCAAAGCCTTTGTTCTTCCTTTTTTGTCATTTCTCGATGCTAAATTTTTTTTTTTGCTCTTCGGCCTATATCAAAACAGCAAGTGTCGTTAGACAATGTACAATACTTTGGAAATATGGAAAGTATAAGATATATGTAGGCTACCTAGAGTCTATTTAAAACCTTTGTGCTCTCCTGAAAGCCGTTTCGTATGGCTATTTCTGGTGCACGTGAGAAAAGCCCAGAGGCATTCCCAGTTGTGTTTCATTGAAGTTGTCACCCTCGTCATGCTGAGAAACCTGGAAAAAACAAACGTGAGTTCATGCCCTGCTATATAAAAAAATAAAAAATGGGCACGTAGTCATGTTCGCACAGCGCAACTTGAACTAGGACAGAGGAGGGGACACAACAAAGGTGCTGTGTCGTACCAGCACCTCTCCTATTTTTTCAATGCCCACCTTATCCAGCCATTCACCACCCTCTTCTCTGGTCCTTTTCTATTCTCCCCCTTCAGCTAGCCTTCACGCCTGCTCTGTGCTCATGTGGGGGAGCACTCTAATTAGGTGATGCCTCACTATGCAAGTTAATAGTGGAGGTAATTTTTTGTTCAGTTGTGTTTACATTCGTGGGGTGACGTCTTGCATCCCTCAAGATTATTTCTTGTATTTTTTTCAATGCCAGTGCGAACACTCCCTTCTCTATAGAAACTGATGATCTGCCTTAGTTTAAGGAGTAGTTGCAGTGCGATGCAATGTATGACTGCTTGCGTCAAATGTGCATATGAGGGTATTCCAGTGGAGATGCATTAGATGTGCTGTCCCTATCCTACATTGTGTGTCTGTCAGAAGAAATGCTACTATCACCTCACAGCGCTTGTGTGGCCCATCTTAAAGCCAGCGTATGCAGCAGCGTCACAGAGATGCATACCCATTGGTAGCCCACATAACACCACAAATGAATACGCGCCATATGAAAATACTGCGTCAAAAGGCTAGTGTGCTAGCCAGCATAGTGATCATGAGGGATGCAAGACACCATGCCACATATAGAAACAACACTAAAAGTAAAATTACCTCCTATGGCTATCGTAGTAAGGCATCATATAAAGGACTCTCTCCCCCAAAAATGCAAAGTAGGCACAAAGGCTAGCCAACAGGGAAGAGTATAAAAGGATGTGAAGAGGGAGTTGTGAACGGCTGGATCTGAACATGTGGCTGGCATTGCAAAAAAATAGGGGAAGTACTGCCTTTCTAATCACTACGTTGGCTGTCATACTGGTTCTCTAATAGACATGGTGTTCCGAGATGGCACATCTGTTCATGGCCATGTTTGTGGCACTATGCGAGTTGCCAACAGGAACCTACATGAAAGTTTTAGGCTTGAAATATTGATAGCCATTTTTTTCATTAAACTGTTGTGAAGACATTGCAGATACACATTGTGTCTACCCATTTCAAATTCAGGCTGTCGTTTAACAGTTACATTGCCACACTATGAGAACTTTGTAATCTTTTAAAGCTTTTACAAGATATATCTAGCAGGGCAGGAAAAGGGACAAACACTGAGCTTTGTGTGAAATGAAACCATTGCATTCAAAACTGTACTTCCATTTCACTTCAACAAGTACATACCCTTAGAGATACTTACTTTTCTGAAGACATTATCATGTTTGGCAGAGTATTCAAAGATCTTGCAGCAATTGTGAAAGAATGTTAAGTCATTATGCATACATTTTGAGCCAGTCACTCAACTTTTTTATACAAAAGCAGTGCATGACTAAATGTACAAAGTAAAGATTTGTTAATTACTCCAATGTTACAGCTCACTGGAGAAGGCACAAAGCAACATCCTACGAACTGTTTCTTTGCAAAGCAACTTTGAAAACCATGGAATAATGAGTGAATTTGACACATTTATGTACTGTCAACAACAAAAGCTTGCAGGATGTGCAGCACGTGGAGAAGCGGCGGAAAACTGCATTGCTGCGCTGCCTACCATGACGTGCACCATGGTGTTGAGCTTATCAGCCATGGCTTCTGATTAGATCTGGCAGCCGCAGGTTGTCTAAGCGCACTGTTGCTAATCACTAAGGCCGCATATGGTAGCCTCAACACCACACTGTGGCACAGTAGGCGGCGCAGCAATGCAGTTTTCCGCTACTCCACCACGCGCTGCACATCCCGCAAACTATTGCTCTTGACAGTACATTCCTTCATAATTTTTCAGTGGAAAGAACATGCATTCTCAGATGCATGTGTTGTCGTCCAACCTACTGAGAAGCTTGTAAATAAAAAACTGCTCTGAAACGTAAGGGGGCAAAATAATAATGACAGTGATCAGTAGGCTCATGTCCAGTGATGTTTTCACTGAAGCAGAGAAGTGTATTACTATGCCAGTAAACATTGCATGAAATAATGCAGCAAGACTAGACAAACAAAAATATGAAAAAAAAATTGTGTCTCAACTGCCCAAAAGAAAGCACTTCTTATGATGTGATTAGAAATTACTGCACAAAAGGAACACAATTCGTGCTTTGCTCAGAAATCAGTAACCCTGTGCAACCACTACAATTATCATGCTACAGAATCGTCTTGATCATTGGAAAGCCTTCACATTCATTGTTCTGCCTTTTTTGAGATTTCAAGTGTTTTGATCCCATATATATTTGCATCAAACTACACAACAACTTTTAATAGCCAATTCTCAAATCTAATAGGAATCAAAAAACAGTAACAATTCAATTTGAAATTTTGATTATGCACATGCCTCTAGTAATCTGCATCAAACATACATTCTACTTTCTCTCAATACTATATATGCACTTTGAAACAACAAATGAGGTTGAGTATATATGAGTAAATGGGACATCGCATAACCATCTAACATAGCCTTATGTAGTAGTTATAAAAGTCAGGTAGTGTGGTCACTATCTGTATTGTTACTGTCATTCAACACACAGCCAATTATAAAATATCACCTGCAAATCACACTATAGTTCCGTTGATATATGATGGTTGCACAGTAGCTATGGTGCTTTATTGCTAAGCTCGAGGACACAGTTTCAATTCCCAGCCATGGCAGATGAGTTCTGGGGGGCGAAATGCACAGTAAGCTGTGTATTTAAATTTAGGAGCATGTTAAGGAACCAGGTGGTGAAAATTAATCCGGAACCCCCCCCCCCCCCCCCTAGAGCATGCTTCATAATCGTATCATTGTTTCTGCAGACATAATATTAAATTCAAGCTTATTTTTTCATCTCAACTTTGAGAACTTACACACTCATGCACCCAAAATCAAAGCCATTTCAGTTGCTCCTTGTACCAATTTTGTATGCATTTTTATAGTTGCAAGCAGCCTGGATTAGATAAAATGTAGCTGACAGGAGAAAAGTGCATTGATGAGCATCAACAGACAATCAAGCCAAGGAAAGTATGGGGACATTATTTCCAAGAATAATAATTGTTGGGGTTTAACATCCCAAAACCGCCATACGATTATAAGAGATGCCGTAGTGGAGGGCTTTGGTTTCGACCACCTGGGGTTCATGAACATGCACTAAGCACTTGGGCCTCAAGCATTTTTGCCTGCATCGAAAATGTAGCTGCCGTGGTTGGGATTTGATACCACCACAGCAGCTACATTTCTGTAAATTATGTTTCTATGAATTAGTTCTAGCAATTACCACATAAAAAGTACCTAACGAACAAATGTGAATGCTGTGTCTACAACATAAATGAGAATGTGACATCTCGAGAGAAAAATAGTCCTTATAATTCCCCTTGTCTTGTTCAAAAGCATGTCTCTTATCGCAGACAACTGGTTGCAGGTGTAAGAGAAAAAAATCTGAAAGATCTAAAATGATCTAAAAGAAAATAATTCGAAAAACCATTTTTTTGTTGTGCAAAGCAAATGTCATGGTATAAATGTATGTGCTCAATTGTCACACACATATCGATGGAGTTCCCTCACACCCACATTCACGACTTTGTGGATATCCATGACAGTAATAATAATATTATCTAGGGTTTTACATCACGATGGTATTATGTCACAATGGCACACTAGGTATTAATAATATCTGGAGTTTTACATCTCAAAAATCATGATATGATTATGAAAGACGCCATAATGGTGGGCTCCAGAAATTTTGGCTACTTTGTGTTCTTTAACAGGTGTGGGCCTCTACCATTTCACCTCCACTGAAATGTGACTGCCATAGCAAGGATGGAACCTGCAACTTTTGGATCAGCACGCTAGCCCGTAGCCACTGTTCCACAAAGGCAGACGTGTATCCAGAACAGGGGCTTTGCTGGGTTAGTAGCATTTCTTTTATTAAAAAGGACGAGCTAGGCTTATCATAAAACTGCCACATCCCTCCGCGTGTTTCCAGTTCACACGCACGTGTTTAATTATGCAAGGTTGAAAACTATTCCTCTGAGAAATTTTGCTTCCACAAATATTCTTCTCTGTACGGTTCGCCATCGCAGGAGGCCTTGCACGTATAAACTAATAATGTTCCCCAGTCCAAGCTATCAACTGAAGGCTCTGTAATGCTGTTGAGCAATTGAGGCAAAACCTGAAATTCGAACTGCCTCTCTGAACCACAGGAGCAACAAGGCACGCTTTGAGGGCCACCTCTACTTGCAACCAGGAGAGGCGTACCACCCAAGCTGTAGCGTAACACTTGATCAGGGGCTTTGGCGATGGTCTTTTTGAACTTCCAGAATGCCTTGTCTTTACAGGTTGCTGCCATCTTGTCCAGGTCCACGATATCTGCCCCGTCATTCGAACTATCCGGATGACTGGTCAAATACTGGCTGTAGTCTGCGAGCCTTTCTTGGTCTGTTTTACAGCTTTCGTCGTCGCCACAAGCGTCGTCTTCCGTTTCTGTAACCAGCTCGTACTCTGGAAACAGTGGAGCTGAAGTCCTCTCGCAGCCGTCGGTGCACTGGGGGTTACAACGAACCTTGTGGCCGTCTCTCCAATCCAATATTTGATGAGACTTGGAACAGTAGTGACGGCTATGGCATTTGGAGCACGTTTTGTCGCCCAATGCGCCGCATACGGCGCAAATTTTACAGAAATCTTCTGCCGACGGACTGCACGAAGTGTCGGGGGATTCCACAGGTGGTTCACTGCTGTAAAACGGATTCTCTTTCGGCAGTTGAGACCGCAGCACTAAAAAACTGCCAGCGTCGTGCTTATTCGCACAATCGGGAGCAACACAGATGAATACGAACAAAGTTCTGTGAAAAGCAGAGTCGACATCGTCACGTGGCGCGTACACTTGCAGAAGGAAAACACACGGCTCACCGCAGTTTTTGCAGGCAATACGTTTGCCACGTGGAACATCACTTAGGTGGAGCCAAGCTGGTTTCCCACCTACTTTGCTTGGAAAGTACTTGCTTTTCAGAGCCCATGCGTCGCGTTTTTCTACAAATCCCAACTCGACAGCACACCGCGGCTCGGAAGCCATCGTAGAGATGGAGGCCGCCGTTTTTATCAAGTTTTTAAGCCATTCGGCGATCCGGCCAATTTACAGCTTTTAGCCAATGCACAAAACCATTGGTGACCATATGCGGATTGAAATTGTACGCGACGCACGCATAAACACGCACAAAAGTTTTTTCAACGTTTATTAAACAACAAAAAACGTACTTGTACCAGGTTTTTATAATTTTACTAGAGCAAGGCAATTACGTCAACACTGATTCTAGCCAGAACACTGCTTCCAGTCTTTAAAAAAGCAAGGTGAGCGCTGCTTTGTTTCAGCTTAAATTTAGCAACTAAATTTCATTAGCTGAAGAACGTTTGAAGGAATAATAAGACAGGTGTTGCCAAAGAAGCTCTGTGTTGGAAGCACAGGCGGTTAGTGGATTGGCTAGGTACTCATATTGAGCGTATTTTCGGTATATTGACCACGCTGTGACCACGCCACAGAACACCTACCATGCCTCCCCGACCCAGCGTTTTAGGACGCAGGCTAATCCCGGCATCTCCCCATTTTGTGACTGATTGTTAATCTGTGTCGGACTGTATTATTAAACAAGTGCGAAATTGGTTTTCACAGACGAATTTGGTGGCTATACGGTCGAATTTTCGTGGAAATTTCATCTGTATATGAAGTCGAGGCTGTCGGAGAGACAGAAGTCGTTTCTATGCAAAAAAATGGTTTGCATTAGTTCTGAGATTGTGTTAATGTCCAAAAATGATTTGCCTTAGTTCTAAGATTATTACCCTTACTGAACTCTACCTTAGTAAGATAGGCATACCCAATGTCAATGGATCACTTGTGATGGTGACCAAGGCTGATCCGGACCGCCTTCGTGATCAACAATTGTCGTTCTTACAACGATCTAATGGTTGCTACACGATCTAAACACGATCGTATATAGCGCTGACGTCAGTTGAATAGCAATGTAGGATTCAGACCCAGATGGCAAAAAAAAAAGGCGACAGCGGCTAATACCGGTGTCACACGGTCACTCTTTATCGCAATTGGGCATGATTCAAACCAAATTTCTTGATTGTGGTTGGTTCCTTCATAATCGGCCCTGAAAGTGATCAGGATCCGGCGTCTGAAAGCATTTCTTCTTCAAAGTGCGTTTAGAAGCCAATCACTATTGTGACATTCTATCCGTATCATGCCCGGTCGCAATCAAAAGTGACCGTGTGACACCTGCAATTGGAAGACAGCCGATGTGACTATTAAATTATTTTGTTACGTGGATTATTACTTGATGTCTTTGCAGTAGTAACGAATTTGAACCCCTTACATCAGTGTGTGAAAAATCAAATGTTAATGGAGGAGAGTTGAAGTTTACTAAATTATTCTCTCAGAGTGTTGTAGCACTATTTATATGCGTAATAATGAACCATCTGGGCTGACAGCACTTCAGTAGGTCTTCTAAACCATCGCTAAATTTTTCATCCAAGCATCTTAAGGTTGTAATAAATGAAATCACCATCATGTCATCTGGAATGCCTCTTGTAATTCACAAGTTACGGCCCTATTGGTAGTAGATAGTCCTCGCACTCCTGTAACCACTGTCACTGAATGCCTAAATATTTTAATCTTTTCGTCAATGTGAAAGTGGTTGCGGAAGAAATAGTAACAGAAGCGAGTCATAGACATTCCTTATGTCCATTCTTTATCGCACAGGCTAAAGAAAGTGCGAAGTAGTTACAACTCTAACTTTGTTTCTAGCTCCCTATAACCTAGGTAAGATATGCTCTGTTGTAAATAAAAAGAATAAACAGGTAATAAAGGGGGGGGGGGGGAGGGCAAACAGAAGTTTCATGAAGCATGGCACCAAGCTTTTCAAATTGGATAATAACAAGCGAAAAACATGAAGCACAGACAAAAAAAATGACTGTACAGGCTGGCACTTCCAGCTGATCAAAAGCATGCGTGAAGCAGCCATGCATGACATAATACAATATCTTAATGAGTCATCACAGGCTTTAACAAGCTCATCTTCTTACCAGACAGGTGCATTGATGTGTTGTATGCCACTAACATAGAATGCTGATAAAATATCCCTTTCGGTTTTTGTATTTACTCGACACCTAAAATCCTAGTGTTGTCATGCACATATTTGCACCCGCACTGCCTGCAATGATTTGATATATGTATGAAGGCAGGCCTTGTATTTCCTGAGACAATCATTACAGCATCAGAAAAAAAAGTCGTAATCATAACGCTTTATTGTGTAGTAAAGTACATATCAGTCAAACTGGACAGTGTACTTTATTTACGACTTGTCACAACTGTTTCAGTCTCATAATAAATAAAGCAGCATTTCTTTCACTTTGGCATATGGGAAGATTATCACTAAACTTAAGTACTTTTTTTTTTTTGATGTGGTAGCAGGAATGTGCTTTAGTACTGTAGCTTCCACAGTGCTTTCAAGAAAAGTTGTTGCCGAGTATACTAACACAAATACCTGCAATGTCGCTTCATATTGGCGTTTTCTTTTGCATGTAAAGCGACTGAAGATGTACTCGCAAATTTATCAGCTTTGATACTGATGCAGTATGCTCAGAAAGCTCGAGGAATCTGTAAGATACTGCATCTGCGTAGAAGCTGATTAAGGTGTAAGGACACCTTCACTGGCTTTGCATGCGATAGAAAGAGCTATATGAAGTGACATTCCAGTTGTCTGCACCTCTTTGTGGGTTCTGCGTGCATTTGTACATTTCCTCAATATTACGTCAGTAAACTTACAGTTTATAGCTAGCGCAAATCCTGTTTGCATGTCTCTGTCTTCTGTGTTCTGCTGCACTTGCTAAGATGCACAAATATAAAGTTGCTTTCTGCTGTGGCTGCTTCCACATAGGCATGCACACTCGGTCACAACCATAGCAGTTGCATTTTCAATAGAGGCAAAAATGATAGAGACCCGTGTGCTTAAATTTATGTGCATACTGCAAAATTCCAGGTGTCGAAATTTGTGGGGCCCTCCACAACGGCATGCTTCACTATTCTATCATGGTGTTAGCATGTAAAACCCCAGAAATTATTATTATATGTTGAGAGACTGTTTTGTTAATCGAAGATTAGTGGAGCACAAAAGGTTCTTAACCAGAGGTTCTCCTTGTTATCTTTCTTTGCATTGTTGGGAAAGTAGGTGCACACCGATTTTTCATGAATGCGAAGTTTTATACAGACACAAGAATGAAGGAAGACATCTAGTGATTGAGGCCTGACATAGCGGAAGTGCATCTGTAAGCCATCTTGCAGTTATCTTGCATAACAAAAGGAATTAACTCAACAGTTTTCTCTTGCACATACAGGCATGTGTGCCTGACCAATAGGTGGAGGTGGCATTACTGTACCTCATGTTACGTAGATACGTTTTTGTGTACTTTGGTTCGCGTCATGGTACACTCAGCTGACAGTTGGTGTTTGTGTTGTACTATTCTCCTGTGTTCATGTTTGTATGCCTTACCTTCTTTCACGATGAATCCCTGTAAAACAGCTCAAGTTCCTGCTTTTTGATCGTTTTTTTTATTACTTATAGCGAGCATGCACTGGCATCATCTACAGATGCAGCCTTATTGTTGGTCATGATTTATGTGGCCCCAGCATTTTGTGTGATAGTTTGTTTGCTGCTTGAGTGGTGCTTACTTCGACAGCAACGTGTTTATGTGTGTACATACGGCTTATATAAACTCGAAAAATTGCCGCTATAAAGAAAAAGTGCACCTGTTTCATGCAGATATTGTATGCCAACCCGCTCAAACCGAGATGAGGACGTTCAGTGAAATGTAGAAGTGCTGCCTCATGTCATTCTGCAAGACCCCATTGCAAACACAAGCGTTTCGTCCAGAAATCCAAAGTGAGTAATAATTACTTATTTTGTGGCTGTGTGTAACAGCCATGTGTCATAGTTCTAGACGGTGTGGTTATTGTTGGAATGTAGACTTACCCTGTTTTTCCTAAATCACTTTTGTCATGCAGCAAGCTGTGAAAACTTTAGGCAGATTGCTGAACTATGGTAATCTAATGCTATGACAAGAAAAGGAATCCTACTTGCGTGCGGTTGTTTTCTGGTAGTGTATTTGTGCAACTCAAGAAGCACAGCGTGCCATGCATGCGTCTAGCGGAACTAATCCTGCTGGGTTTAATGTGGTGTGGCCATGATGCACTGCTGCCACAAGAAACAAGTTTGTGCTATTTTAACCTTATATGGCACCAAACATAACTGTTGACAAGTCACGGTGTAGTCAATTTGCCAGTTTATGTGGAAACTCACTGCACTGTTCTTAGTACTGCTAGCACATTCTCCTGTCACTCATGCTTGATCACATCTGGACACTGCAAAGAAACCAGCCTGGGCTACGTTATAAGGCTTCATTCTTGTGTTTGTGTGGATGTTAAAGTAAATCATGGCACAGATCATCATAATGGTGCAACTCAACATACTCTGGCCACAGCAAGCAGATGCACTCACTACAGAGACACTGTCTAATAAGAAAGAATTCTCCCCAGCATGCATAAAACACTGCTGCATTCGTGTTGATATGTCAACTGTGAAGTATGTTCATGATGATGCATGACCAACAATATGGCACAGTGGCCCTATCATCCTGTCGCCACCTTGCATTGGAGGCTTAGTGCATACACGTTATAGTTTAGTGTTTGGAACACTTCATAAACAGTGTAAACAAGAAGACAATACATATGTTGTACAGTGGAATAGTGCCTTGGGCCTGTAGCTAGAGAAGGTGCCGTAGGGGCCTGGGCGCCCCCTGAAACGGGATGAGGGGGTATTTACCGAGAATAAATAAAGAAAATATGGGTTTGTCAAGGTCTTCAGCATGTAACCCCCTCCCCCCCACCCCCCCCCCCCCCCCCCCGAAAAAATCCTGGCTACGGGTCTGGCCTGTGTATGTGCTGTGAAGTGTCAGTATGTTTATCTTTAATTAATTATTTCAGTCCCAAGTTCAGTGCCATTCTTATCTTGATCGTGCTACAACAGTGGCTATAACCATCATCACTGTTGCAGTGGATTATGCACATGTTCACATTATGATTAAACTCTGAAAGATCTGTTATGGTTTGGAACAAAAGCAAAGTGATGCAAGTTGGGAAACGGAACTTAACAAAGCAATATTCTGCACAACTGATAACTACACTAGCAACAATAATGGTACTGGCAAAGTGGGAAGTGCATTGCAGTAGGTCAGCTGAGGAAGCAGTTATTGACGAGATTATGGTGAGAAGCCCTGCACTCTGTGGGACAGCACACATGTGGACAAGGACAATTCGTTGATAGTATACATTGAATGTTTAGTTGCACTTTGGGCACTTCTGCTCTATCTGCATTTCATTTATTTAACTTTTTTTATTTAATACATACTGTAGAGAGACAGCCCATGCAGGGTGTGTAGACTACATTAGGTCAGCGAAGGTATAATAATATGGTAAGCTGAATGATATAGTTCTGGGCATACAACTGAAGAAACAGTAAAAAACAAGCCTTCTTAAAAAAATGCAAGCGTAAAAAGTAAAATAATAAAGTGTTTACAGAGATGAGGTGTTCCAATCTTTAATGGTGCGTGGAAAAAGAGAGTATTTGAATAAATTAGTTTGGGCAAAACAAGGCGTTGGAGCATTTCGGTGATGTTGGCAAGTAGGCCTTGTCATTAGTGAACTTAGATACACTGTCGGGTCGAGTGCAATTGTCTTAGTAACAAACTATAAAAGAAAGTCAATCCGTAATTTTTTTTGACACGGTTCTATTGTTGGAACGTAATTATAGTGCATTAGTTTAGTTAGTGAATCGAACGTTGGAAACTTGTTACAAACAAACCAGATAGCCTGTCTGAATTCTCTCAAGTTTCTTTATGTTACAATGCATGTAGGGGTCCTGTGCAAGGCAGGTGTACTCGACCTTTGGTCAAATTAAATAGTAATAAGTGAGAAGTTTAACAGAGGCTGGAGCATGTTGAAATTTGTATTTAAGAAAGCACTGTTCTCAAATGGTAGGGGATGTTCTGCACATGAAGGTTTTAGGACAAGCTACTAGAAATGGTGACACCTAAATATTTGCGGTTAGTGACTTCTTTAAAGGGCCAGTGAACAGGCTCAGACTTCTTTTTTCTACCCCCCATACAAGCTCTGCAATTCATTGATTAGACAGCAGCGATCATATTTTCTGAATATTACAGCGCCGCGCACTGCGCAGAGCCTCTATTTCGAAAAACGATTCCCGCGCATCATCGCTACACGTGACCAACCCCCTTGCACCCGCAGTGACATCAACTCAGCGATCGGCGACGTGACGTAGCACGCAGCTCGCCGATTCGTCTAAATCAGGTGTGAAAAAACAGTAGTGAAGTCAACGTCAGTTCCTGTTCCCACCCAACAGCTACAAAGCTGCCCCTTGTTTCTTGGCATTGTGGTGAAAGAGCCAGCCTCGAAGTTGTCGCGTTCACGTGTACGCTCCTCGCTCAACTACAGTGCCTGTGCACACGTATGAACGTACTTCGCCCTTGACATGAGCAACACGGGTAAAAAGTGTTGCTCTGGTGTCGGCTGCAAATCGAGCGACTGGGCAGCGGAGAAGCATCGGCACTGGGTGCCTCACGATGGGGCCTTGCGCGCTGCATGGCTAAAGTGAATCGGCCATCCAGCGACATACTCCGGGGACCTGATGGTTTGTGGTCAACACTTTGTACCTGACGCTTACATGGTTGACCAGCGGCTGGTGCGGCAAACTGTAAACAATCAACCACGCTTCGCAGCAAGCAGAAGTGCGTTGCGACTGATCAAGTTCGCCGATGATATCAATCGCTGACGTGGTGTCACGTTGCCGAAGTGGGCGGGGTCATTACGATGGGCTACGCCTTCCCCTTCATTGAAGGGAGAAGAGGGGCGAGGCCACGCGAAAATTTTAAACTAGCTTAGACCGATGTTTTAACCCCTGTAACTTCCTTAATATAGCTCGTATTCATAAAATTCTTGTGGCAACATGTTTGCAAAGAAAAACTGCACATATATCTCTTAAACATTTTTGGACCTCAGGGCTGTTTACTGGCCCTTTAAGTGCTGAAGAGCCCAGCATATAACTACATATACTATATGTTTCTTTTGGGAAGTTGGTAAAAATGCACTTTTTTGTACACTCAAGGTATCTACTATTAAGTGCACCAATGGGAAATTTGACTGAGGCTTTAGTTCAAATCACTTTGGTCACTAGCATGCTTAATTTCCTGAAGCAACATTATACATTTAAGCAACAGCTTTTACACTGCTGAGCGAAAAGTAGGTTTCTCAGTAATTACTTTTATTGATCATCCTCTTCTATGCTAATTTTGGACAGTTGCTTGATATAGAAAACAAACTTCTGTGTTATTTCTAAACATTGTTGAATGAGATCCGTGATATTGCTAGAATTGAAGTACATGCAAGTGTAAACTTGTTGAATTTAGGTGATATATATTAATGTGTGTGCAGTAGCAATAACATTATTAATGACAGTCTCACTGTCTGCCTAACCCTTTATGTTCTGAGCCAGTGCAGTTAGATCAGAATAGTGTGTGCCATTTATTTTCAAAATGTGAGTCACCAAAGGTACGAATTTTATGATAGTGAGAAATTGAGTGAAAGGTGTGTTGAACAGAGAGAGAGAGAGAGAGAGAAAACTTTATTTGCGCATAACGGGGAGCATTCCAAATGGTCGGGCCCCTATTCTACGGCTCCGCTGGCCCTAGCCATCATCTCTACCCGTTGGACCAGCCAGCGCTGATCAACAATGGCCGAGCTGGACAGCAGCACCTCCCATTGTTCCTCTGTGTTGTTCATGTTGTGGTATTCTTCATTGTGATGCGTGCACTCCCACGTGATGTGAAACAGAGTTGGTGTGGCCCCACACCACGGACATATATCTTTGTATGCTGTGGGGTAGAATGCATGCAGCCTGTGTAAGTTCGTGTATGTGTTTGTTTGGATTCTGCGTGATGCCACCGATTTCATTGCTGTAAGTTTATTATGCGGTGCTGGATACACTTTTCTATTGTCCCTGTAATACTGAAGAATTGCACCAAAGTTAGGGTCTAGGGGCGTTGGATCCTCTATTGCAGTGTGCAAGGAAGCTCGATAATCTGTGAAGCCTCGAGCCGCCTCATCCGCAAACTGGTTCCCGGTTGCGCCCTCGTGCCCTGGCGCCCAGATAATGGTTTGGGTGTATTCAATTGGGAAGTCCTTGTGAGCTTTGGTTAGAATTTGGAAGGCCTTCATGCATATTCTACCTTTTTCGTAATTTCTACATGCAGCCTTCGAGTCTGTGATTATTGTCATTGGGGCTTTTCGCTCCCTGCCCTCCTTGATTGCCAGCGCGATCGCTATCTCCTCCGCTTCTGTGATAGAGGCTTGGGCTATGGAGGCACAACTTGTGACGTTTCCTTTTCGGTCTGTGTCCACGGTCACCATGTTCTTTGAATTTGCCTGATATGGTGCAGCGTCAGTAAATCTCGCCGTATTCAGATATTTTGTCTGTTTATCTATGTAAACGGCTCTTGCTTTACGTCTTCCAGCATGTAAAACTGGGTCCATGTTCTTCGGTAGGGGGCATATTTTGTACCAGGCTCTGACTGAGCACGACAATTCCTTAGCTCTTCCATGTGCCTGTACTTGTTCGCCGAGGCCGATCCTCTGAAGAAGTTTTCTGCCGGTTGTCGTCTGTAGCAGGCGGTTAATCTGGGTGGTTACTTGTGCCTCAGCCAACTCATCAAATGTATTGTGAAATCCGAGCGCTAATAGCTTCGCAGTTGAAGTGCTTTGTGGTAGTCGCAGAGCCGCTTTATACGCCATCCTTATTATTTTGTCTGCTTT